CCCCAAAACCCCAAAACCCCAAAACCCCAAAACCCCATGCTCTTGAAATTTGATAAGTCTTAGAATTTTCATCGATTTAGGAAATAAATTTATTTTAATGGGAGATTCAAGCGAAGAAGAGCAGTAATACATCACTGACTTGAAGTCTAAATACGATTAATCAAGAGTTAAGACCTCTACAACTGAAAATAATGAAAAATAAAATGAGCAGCATCCATATGTCAATCTTATTGTAGAGAATACTCCTAATGTAAAAAAATCAAAAGTCAATGAGACTTCGAAATCTCAGATTAAAACTTCTCAAATTGGGTAATCTTGGCATCCCAAACATAAAGAGTTGATATAAAAAGTTTACTCGCAGCTAAGACCAGTAATACTTTCGGATAATACAAATACTAAGAGCACTCTAAGATCACCAATGAAATCGTCAGTGAACAAATCATTCGATAAAAAGCTCAAAGGGAGCAACGGGACTGTAGGACATACAATGTATCAAAGTCTAGACTTCGAGCCTTCATAAAATTATCTTAGACTAAAAAAGTAGCATAGTCTGACATTGAATAGCAAATCTGATCGTTTAAAGGCCTTCCTTAATGTGCATAGTCAGTGGAAGAAAGATAAATTCCTCTCAAATAATAACTAAGTCTTAGGGAGTGGGTCTAAAGAGGGAAGAAAATTAAACCTAGCTGAATTCAATTCGCTTTTCAAAAGAAAGGAATTAATCAAAAAGTAAGCATACTGAGATTTATCTTTAAATACTTTATATAGAAATCCAAACAATGTGCCTTAAAAGAAAATCTACAATTATGTGATTCCATCTGAGCGCAAAAGAGATGACTTGAGATATGAAATTAGAATGAAAATGCTTAGGAGTAGTACGATGTCAATCCAGAGACCATTCTCTAGCGATGGAAAGCGCAAGGATGGCATAAAGAAGACTATAACATCAATTAACTCTAGTTTTAATTATAAATTTTGAGATTATTTTATTATCATTATTAAATAATAATTAGCTCAGCTTACATATACTAATACTATAATGCCCAGACTAAGTAGAAGAAATTCGGAAGATCAAACTGTTTCCAAGAAGAGAAGAAGAGATTCTGCATCACCAAAGAGAGATTCAGATAGAAGTAATCCCTATCCTTTTAAAGCTGTTTATATTTAGAATCTAAAAAGAGAGACGAAAAAAGAGATGATAAAAAGAGCAAGAAAGAAAGATCACCATCAAAGAAGGTTACTGAGGAGAAAGAAGTAGATCATGTTAAGACCAGAAGAATGAGTATGGCAGCTGAAAAGGATGCAGTTGATTAAGAAGGTGCCTTTGAAAACTTCCCATAAATTACACCCAAGACTATTGAGAGTCTCAAAAAGAGAGGTATTACAAAGTTGTTCCCAGTTTAATACTAATCATTCAATCATGTCTGGAATAGGAAAGATCTTATAGTCAGAGATCTGACAGGTTCAGGCAAAACCATGGGCTTCGCTCTGCCTATGGTAGAGTACTTCAGAAAGCATAAGCTATTTGGTACTGGAAAAATTTAAGGAATGTGTTTAGCACCAACAAGAGAGTTAGCCCTTTAAGTATCAAAGGAGTTTAATGCTCTTAAGCATTCTGAAAACGAATTCAATGTTTTGACAGTCTATGGAGGAGTCTCAATTGAGGATTAAACCTACTAATTGAGAAGGGGTGTTGATATTTTTGTCGGAACAACTGGTAGAGTTTTAGATCATATGGAGAGAAAGAACTTTAACTTCACGGACCTTAAGACAATCGTATTGGATGAGACCGATTAAATGCTCAAATAAGGATTTAAAGAAGATGTTGAGAGAATTATGGCAACTATTAAGGAAAAAGCCCCTAAAAATCTATAAGTACTTTTATTCTCTGCTACAGTGCCATTTTGGGTGAAGCAAGTTGCAAAGGAACAAATGGCTCCAGATTTCATGATGATTGATCTGGCTAAGGACTTGCATAATAAGACATCTAAGACTGTTAATCACTTGTCCATCAATTGCCCATACTAAAATAGAATGTCAGCACTAGCTGATATTTTAGTTTGCTATGGAGGTATCGGCTAAACTATTGTATTCTGTTCTACCAAAGCTGAGGCTAACTCACTCTTACTTTCTGATAAGATTAAGTAAGATATTGAGGTCATGCATGGAGATATCGCTTAAAATCAAAGAGAAGTCACCTTGAAAAGATTCAAGGAATGCAAATTCAATGTTTTAGTTGCTACTGATGTCGCTTCAAGAGGTTTAGATATTCCAAATGTCGACCTTGTCATCCAAGTTGAACCACCTAAAGAAGTTGAGACCTATATCCATAGAGCAGGTAGAACTGCTAGAGCAGGTAGAACAGGAACCTGCATTACTTTCTATGGAAAGAAGCATTAAGGACTTATCACTATGATTGAATAAAAAGCTGGTATTAAATTCTAGAAAATTGGAGTCCCACAACCAGAAGATGTTATTAAAGCATCATCAAGAGATGTTATAAAGAATCTTGATTAAGTTGTAGATTAAGTCCTACCTCTATTTGAGGATGCTGCTGATTTGCTAATTGAAAAGTACGGGAATGATCCCAAGAAAGCACTTCAAGTCACACTTGCCTATCTATCTGGACATTACAAGCAAGTTATGAGTACAAGAAGTCTATTAACAGGCCAAGAAAACTATGTGACGGCAGAAATTAAACTAAACAATGCATTCAATTCACTTTCCTTTGTTTGGGGTATCTTAAAAAGGTATCTACCAGATGGAATGGTGAATTCAATTAGAGGCATGAGAATGTTTAAAGACAATAAGGGTGTTGTTTTCGATGTACCAGATGATTCAATTGCTAAGTTTGAAGACACTTTCAAGCATCTATTCGATGAAAAGAAAATTGACTTCCATGTTGGAATAACTAAGGAGCTTCCAGATTTGAAAGAAGATAATGATTTCTAATAACCATCAAGTGGTTATGGAGGATATGGTAACAGATAAGGTGGAGGTTATGGGCAATCTAGTGGTGGATATGGCCAACAGAGAAACCAATCATATGGCAATAACTAAGGAGGCAACTAATTCGATGGCTACCAAAGAAATTAATCAGCTCCATCAAGAGGAAATAACGATGAAAGAACAGTATTTGTTGGAAATCTTGGTTTTAACACTTAAGAAAAGGAAATCGAGGGTCTATTTACAAAAGAAAGACTAAATCCAAGCAGGCTAAGACTCTTAAACGGGCCTGATGGGCAATTTAAAGGAGCAGCTTTTGTTGAATTTAACTCAAAAGAGGAAGCAGAAAAAGCATGCTAATTAGACGGAAGGTAAATTGGGGATAGAAAAATTAGAGTTAACCCAGCAGGCAATAAACCAAACCCAAGATGAAATACTTGATTCCTCTAGTTTCAACTAACTGAGTCTCTATTACATCTAACCCTAATTAATTAACTGCTATGTATTTATTTAATTAAGAGTATTTACATTTTCTTTGTATTGAATATGGAATCTTGGGGTTTTGGGGTTTTGGGGTTTTGGGGAGATCGGAAGAGCACACGTCT